AACTAACCCAAAAAATTCACATGTTCTATTATGATGGCGAATTTATTACAATAGAGTGTCCATGTAAGTAATAATATGAGTATTAATTTTAGTATTAAATATTTGTTTTAAATTTGGCCGGGCTTTACAAATATTTGTATTAATTGTAACACTGAAGATGGTCTACAAAGTAGACCGAAATATTTGTTAATTAATAAAATATATTACATCAAGTAATAAATGTGATATTTTATTTAATTTAAAATTTGTGTTTTTATACAATAAAAATTATTATATAAAAACAAAATTTGAAACCACGACCTAAAGCCCGGCCAAATTTAAAACATAAATATTGAGGTCGACACTAATAAAAACATTAAATATTTGTTTAATAATTTTGAATATATAAAAAAATGTGTAAAATAATATGAATATGGCATTGTCTAAACATATCACAAATTCATATAATAACAAATTAATAGAGAGCATCCATGTTGTGGGATAGATATAATATAAAAAATTAGTTTTTATGAGAGAACTCTGTTCTTACTCTCAAAAATAAAAGACCTTCTGTTGAATAAAGAAGAAAAGACAGCAACACAAGAAAAAACTGGTAAAAGGTTCAAACTTTAAAATAAGAATTAAAAAAAATATCAACTATAGAGCTATGTTATGGCATTTTGATTATATTTCAAGTTTTAATATTTTCTAATATATTAAAAGAAAGTTTAATTTTAATTTAATTTTTTTATATCGGTAGCCTGAGAAATTAACAATCACATGTTACTAAAAATATAAGAAATTCAATGTGATCAGTATGTTGTCAACAAATGTACGATTTTTAACGAAACAATTCATACCTATTTGAAACCAGACGAAGCTTATTCATAGGTGATCGTGAGTACCACTACTGTGTTTCTTTTAAAAATATGCAAGCAACATGCTTGCATTCAGAGTTAAAGCCTTATAAAGTTTTATAAAGTTCATATTTCATTGCAATAAAACTACTAAATTGATCAGAAAATAATGTGTCGATTTTTTTTATCTAAAATTATTATAATAATTTAATATAAATAATAAATAAGTTTATTTGAAATAATTAACTTTTAGCTGAAAAACGCAACTATAAAATATTCTAAAATATTTTTATTATTAATATTATTCTTTACAAGTTTCTATACAATATTTTAAAATACATGCAAAGTGGTTAAGAACAAAATAAGTTTTATAATTATAACAGAAATAAAAGCGTTTTGAAGTAAAAAGTATTTAACTTTAAATAAAAAAAGCGTATTGAAGTGTACGATCTTAAACTTTAAATAAAAAAATTTTAAATTTTGTATGTTACTTTAATGACTATAATATGGGACATTACTTTTATAATCAACAAATAGCAAGCCGATTCTACTAATAGCTATCGCTAAAACTCCATCGTTAAAGTTCTTTAAATGCATTTTAGCGACTTTGGCGATTTTGCTAACCCGGTACGCTTAATTTCTATTCGCTGATTTTCTTAACTTTTAAAAACAGCTGATTGCTCCGGATAAAACGCTAAATTTCCTAATTTGATTGTTTTTGGCGGTTAGGTTTTTATTGTCACTAAAAGTGAAAATATTATTTTTTAAACAAATTTCCCAATTATTTTGTAGGTATTTAGTATAATGTTCATATTTATTTAGTAATTAAGATATTGTGGTTTACTTCTTGGTTCACAATAGCAAAATAAAGTTGATAAAATATTTTAATTTCAACATCTATAAATTTTCAATATTTATATTTGAATTTAATAAAAATATAAAAATGATCATTTATATGATTATTGTCTCAGAATTCATCCATAATCTGTTGCAATATTGATTTTAAAACTTAAACGTAATTTTACTCTAAATTTAGAGTTTATTTTAAATTAAATGTAATATAAGATTGGTTTTCGCAACTTAAAATTTAACTTATTTTTGTAAGTTGATAACAACTGAAAAAAAACATACGAATGCATATATGAATGCAAATATTTTATAATTAATGCACAAAACTTGTTGATTCAAAAGCATCCCTGGGTTTAAGTCGCTGAACTGAGCTGCTGATTCCCTTTTGATGCATAAATCGCATTTCTTTATTTCATTAATTCATTTCTTCGTTAAGTTAACGGGAATACAAATTTTGCTCAATTCTCGTGTTTTAATTGTCCATAGGCATATATATATAGCATTTCTTGAAAAAGACAAATATTTAATTAATGAATTATTTAATTAAATAAGTGTTTTTGAATATGCTAAGCGATTATGGAGGAGATATGTGAAAGATGTTATAAAAAAGCTTCTCATACTTGTGCAAGGTGTGGGGAACCTTATTGTAGTGAAAATTGCCAAAGAATTGATTGGCCCAATCATCGTCTAGTATGCAGAAAAATGCCGTAAGTATGATATATTATAGTATGTGCACAGTTTTAAATATGCATATGTCTTGTATAAATAGTGATCTCGTACCATTCGTAAAGTATCGCGAAGAAGTATATAAAGAGCTGCAGCCAAAAAAAGAGATTTCTAGCGAAAGGAACATAGTTCATGCATATGTTGACAATCATGAAGATCCAAATAGCAATAATCACAATGATCAACAACAACATGATCAGCTTGTTGGTCCGATGACTCGAAAACATTTTAATAACAATGAACAGCACAATGATTCTAAACGATATGATCAAAGTAATAGATTGCAGGAATCCAATGTTCAACAAAAGTGGGATCGCGAAGCTGTTAAAGATAAATTTATTGATAAACAATATGAAAAAGATTTTAGTTGTGATCCACAGTATCCTGGTATTGATGCTCAATCTTTACGATGTGACACAAAACTTGATAATGTTTCTGAACAAAATAAGTGGGAGAATCGTCAAGAATTTAACAAAGGCGGTGATATACTAAATGGTAAACAATGTTCAAGTTTTCGAACATCTAGTACTAAATATAAACAAGTGAGTTTTAAAAGTAACAACATAATAAGAATAAGTTTATAGTTTTTATTTCTTATTTACAGCGTCATGATTACGATGAAATGGGTACTACTTATGTTCAAAACCGTTTAATTTATAATGAACAATGTAACAAATCCCAACAAAATTATAAAAACATTGAACTACAGGATTATAAGGTTCCTGAAGAAAACTTTGATACTGATATTGTCGAAAAAGATTCTGGTTATAAGTTAAGTAATCAAAAATATCCTGATATTGACAATCAATACTTACAACTGGGTATTCAACTTGATAATGTTTCTAAACAAAATAAGTGGGAGAATTCTAAAGAGTTTGACCAAAATAATTACAAAGAAATTGGTAAACAATCTAACAATCGTAATGGTTTTCGAAAGCATGACGTTAATGATATTCAAGTAATTTCTGATAATAGTGTTCAACATAATATGGGTAATTCAGAATCTTTTACTCATCTTCCACAGCAGAAACGTCTTGATAATTCCGATGGAATTGGTACTAGTACTCAAAAATCTTTAAGTTATAATAAACAACGTAACCATTCTGAAGAATATAATAAAAATCATGAACTACTGGATTACAAGGCTGTTGAAGAAATATTTGATGTTGATATTGTCGAAAAAAATTCTGGTTATAAGTTAAGTAAACAAAAATATCCTGATATAGACAATGAATACTTACAACGGCGTACTCAACTTGGTAATGTGTCTCAACAAAATATGTGGGAGAATTCTAAAGAGTTTGACCAAAATAATTACAAAGAAATTGTAAAACAATCCAAGAGTCGTGATGGTTTTCAAAATCATGACGTTAATGATATTCAAGTAATTTCTGATAACAGTGTTCAACATAATATGGATAATTCAGAATATTTTACTCATCTTCCACAGCAGAAACGTGTTGATAATTTCGATGGAATTGGTACTAGTACTCAAAAATGTTTAAGTTCTAATAAACAACACAACCATTCTGAAGAATATAATAAAAATCATAAACTACAGAATTATAAGGCCATTGAAGAAACATTTAATGCTGATATTGTCAAAAAAGATTCTGGTTATGCGTTAAGTAATAATCAAAAATATCTGGATATTGACAATGGAAAATTACAACGTGGTATTCAATTTGATAATGTTTCTAAACAAAATAAGTGGGAGAATTCTAAAGAGTTTGACCAAAATAATTACAAAGAAATTGGTAAACAATCCAACAGTCGTAATGGTTTTCAAAATCATGACACTAATGATCTTCAAGTATTTCCTAATAACAGTGGTCAACATAATATGAATAAGTGGGTGGAACCTAAAGAACCTCTTCATGTTGTTAAAACAGAAAGTGGTAATCAAGCAATGAAATCTAAATCTTTCAAACATTGTGCTGGTGATATTCAAGTTACTTGTAATAGAAAACAAAGTAGTGATGGCACATCTCAAACTCAAGAGTGTTTTAAAACACAAAAACGATATGAGGAATTACGAGTTGAAAATGTTGATCAACCAAGAAACGATCGCTTTAAATTGTCATATGGTAAAAAAAATAAAAAATCAGGTGGCAAGGATATAAAAGACCTGGATACGGATATTCGATTGTATCTCGGTAATAATCTAAAACAGCGCCTTGAATGTGCAAGGCAAGGTATTAATTTTCTACCAATACCTTTTAAGAACAATTAAATTAATTGAATAATATATAATATATATATATATAATAGTTCAAGTTCGTTTTATGACTTTTGACATTATGAAATTTATTAAAAAATTTGGCAATTGAATAACTGGTTTATAGTCTATGTTGAAAAGTATATGTAAGATCAGATATGGTTGTAAAATGTCTGATAAAAATTTCAAAATTGAGTTTAATTTAATTTAATTTATTTAATTTTTTTGGGTTTTTTATTGTCAATTTTAAATGAGTTATAATTATTATTATTTGAATTATATTTTTTTTTTATAACAAATCTGTCACATATTCTAAAAAACATTTATATCTTATACAATTAAAGCATAAAACCTTAAGTTGAGATGTAATTTAATTAATATTCATTTGCTGGCAAAAATTAAAAGGTCTAATAATAATAAAACAAAAATCATGAGATTATATGTTCGACATTTCTTTGTTGAAAAATTTAAAAAATTAAATAAAAAGATTGATTTGAAATATAACAGACTGGTTTAGATTTATTCAAGGTCTAGAATGCAGAGATCTGCCTACTCTTGTTATTAGTGGTTCGGTTTAAAAATGTTGAAAGAATATCGTTGTATTTTTTTTACCCATTTATTTGTTAAATGAAAACGGAAAATAATTATTTTACAATGAGCAAAACTTCCCTCTGAGTAGAGGGAGGTTAGGTAAGGTTGTTGTGGCAACCTTTTGTACCTAGCTTTTTTTAGCACAAATATTAGCCGGTTTTGTTACTATGGATGAAATACTGTCTATACGAAATAATGAGAAGGCGTGATTATAATCAAGTAATAGGCAAATCTATGAACCTGATCTAGGGACATTATCAGAATGACAGTACTGTTTACCAACATTTTAAAGAATGACAGCACTGTCAGGTCAGTCAGGAACGGAGTCTCGAAGATTTTAAATTTTCATTTAGTCAATGATGGGCGTTGATATATGAGATAGAGTGTAGTTCTTTCTTCATTCGCAGAGTCGCAGCCTCTGCAAAAATATTCAGAGAGTAGACCAAATCATCTTATTATATAACTTCCTTATACGCAGCGACATGTCAAGTACGAACTGTTACCGTTGTACTGCGTTGGTTACGCTTTAGCTGATGTAGTTGACTAGTATGATTTTTGTGCAATTGAATCAAGTGGGTCTTATGATCTGACAAGAATTTTCATCTATTCAGGCTTTGTTTATCAACTTTAGGTATTTTTGCCCAATTACTAGTTTAGCCATTTCAGGAGAAATGTCAGTATTGGCAAACTCGTCTGCTTTACAGTTTACAAGATCGATCTGCATCCAAGTGCATATATGAGTTAGACACCGGATAACTCAACTCAAAGATGCTTACCTGCTCAAGAAGTTTGCGACATTTATGTTAGAAACCATACGGCTTAAGATGCATTTTGCTTTATATTGAATTGCCACTACAGTGTCTTTCAGATCAGATAGTGAAATGACACGCTAAGATCAAATGTTAGAAAAGATTCCACTGCCGATTGACTGTTTGGTTTAAAGTCTTTAGTGAGAACATAACTTTTTCAAAATTTTAATAAGTATACACTTGTTGTCTTCGCTGAGCATCTAAAAGATTGATTTCCAATAGGTCTGCAAAAAATAGCGAAAATAGACTTATCGGATTTCATTAACTTTATCCTGAGTATCAATTATTTCCCAAAGTTAATATAAGAAGATATATTGGAAACAGTAGTTAGTGTAGTCCACTTTTCCTTGACATTTTGAGAGTATCGCAATATGTCTTTCCAAGAGCAATGTTGATAACTATAGTAAAACGCATCCTCTTAACCTAATCTAAACAACCATCAACGTTTGTAGGAGAATTTTCATTAATGCTTTTTTTCAAAATAAGTTTCTAATAATAAATTATTAGGTAAGTCTTCGATACGTCACATAAATAACCCACCGTCAAGAACTCTCTTTGTAAGTTAGAGAAAATCGATCGCTAATTTTGCTGTTATTATTCATCATCTTCATCCATTCTCACGACATGACCAAGCCAGCGAAGCCGCTGGATGTTAATGCGCTGAATTATATCAATGTCTTGATAAAGCTCGTACAGCTCGTGGTTCAATGGATGGATAATGAAGATGCTCCATCGAAAAAGGTGTTTGAAGCAGTAGTTGGCGGAAGAAGACGTAGAGGTAGAGGTAGATTGGAGTGATCAAGTTGAGGGACCACTAACTGGACTTGATATACGAGACTGGAGAAGGTGCGCACGCAGCAGAGTCGCCTGGGGAGACATGCTGCGTCAGGCCGAAGCTCGGTAACGGGTTGTTATGGCCAAATAAGTATGTAAGTAAGTTATTATTCAGAATTATAATCCAGAATACAATCAAAAGTTAAGCTATTTTAAATATTGTATTTTGCATAACATTAAACACATAAATAGTTGTCTAATTACAGATATCATTAAAAAAGAAAAAGGATAACCTAAAGCGCATTTTGGGAATTCTTTTTCTTTGAATACAAATCGGGCAGTAATTTTGATACTAACGTAAAGTTCCCTTGAGTGCAGTGCATTGTTAGTTGTAATATTGTTTCCATCTGTTACCAAACTGAGGATTCGTATACTCGCAAATGCCACGAGTAACATCGATGTGAGGCATATCAATCGCACATTAACCTTTTGTAATGAAGTAGCCAAGTAACGTAACGTAACGTAAGGTTGCGTATCATTCGTCGATAAACATGATAATACTAAAATGAGAATACTAATACAATACTAAAAGTGCAGTAGTTCATAAAAAGTCCATGTAAAGACGATTTTATCTCTACTAGCAAATATTTACGAAACTTTTTTATATTGTTACATTTTTGTTTTCAATTTATTGGAAAATAATTTTGGTTTTTCGTTTTTTACGTCCCATTAGAACCGCCCCTTTTTATGTTATAATATGCAGTCTTTTATATTCTATATCAGCACGTCACATACACTCTTCAATCTGGCGGCATTTTGAAACGATTTCCCGCTGTTGCTGATGGTCTACCCTTGCAAGTTCAAATATTTGACTGCGTTTTTCGCTTTTCGCCGTTCGCTGTTTTGGATAATATTGTGAAGGATGCTTACATGATTGCACCATGTGTGTCGTATGTTAGTGCATGTCCGTAGCACTAATACGCTATGCGAAGGTACTCAATTCTAGTTTACATTTTGGCCCTTCACTCCCTCCATTCAAAGGTATAGGGTTTGAACACTGTTGCAGTGCTGTAATTGTAGCAGCACTTGTTTCTGTTGCGAACTTTCAATGCCCTTTTTTATTGTTTAACTGGAGGACAAATGTAAAAGCGAAAAGTGTTCTTCACAAATAATTATTTTGTGTAAACATATGACGTTAGATGGGCAAATGCTGCTGCCTAACAAGCGCCTCAAGCTGTAAACTCTTTTATTTGCTCGAAGTTTTATACTTTTTTATGTTTTACATTTTATTTAAAAACTTTCAGTAATAAAGAGAAAGAAGTTGTTGGAGTGATTTTTTTTTTTTTATAAATAGTGTATATATATTGGATTTATTGAATGCCACTAACAATATTATTATATCTATATATATTTATGCATATATAAACTTTAGAACAGGTTCATATAATAACTTAATTACACAAAATCCTAATGAGGATTACTTTATAATACAATTGATTTTCATTATTGCTATTATTTATAAGTGAGATCCAACATTATCCATTAAAATAATACAAAACATGTTAAAACGCTGTTCCCACCGCAGAGCAATAAATTAGGTTATAACGGCGATCGACTCTAGTAGCCATATGAGTTTTATGCGAATAAATTTATTTTTAAAGAGATTCGTTCTTTATTTTTTATATAGTATTTTAAATCAAAATGATTGAAAACGATTAATTATATAGCTATATATTAATTTTATTTTTATATAGTATTAGATCGAAATAATTGAAAGTCATTAATAATTTATTAATAATTAATAACTATTAATAAATTAATAGTAATTTTACTAAAAGCAAACTGAAGCTAGCAAGATAGCAGTGTTTCAAAGGAAAATACTCAAAAAAATTTTTGGTCCTGTGAAAGAAAACGGGATGTATCTCATAAGGCACACCACAAGCTAGAACGGCTAGCTGAAGGTGATACAATCTACAAATTTAAGAAAAAGCAGCGATTAAGATGGGCTGGACATGTGATAAGAATGCCGGATATGAGAGTATCGTTAAGATTTATGAAAACGAAGTTGGAACCAGCAGAAAAAGGACTTAGAAGAACGAACATAAGAAATTGGAAAACAAAGCAAAAAAACAGATAAGAATGGAATATTGTTGTTAAACAGGCTTAGGTTCTACATGGACTGTATAGTCACGGATGATGACAATGATTATCGGAGCTCAATTTATTCCTTTTTATTTGATAAGTATCTTGTAATTTCCATTGCTACTGTGGATATCTTATGTCAGTATATAAGTAAAGCAAGTAAATATATTTAAATTGCAATACACAAATAAAATATTATATCCATGAATCATTTTACCACCTACCTACCTATCCACTAATCCTACTCTCTTTTCTTACAAAATCGCAGAAAAAATATAACATATTTGCAAATATCCGTCAACGATTTGTAATTACATTCGTACATATGTGTTCTGTCGGCAAGTGCACTTGTCATTCAAGTAAACATGTAAGTGTGCAAGTGCGTTGGTTTCCTGCATGTTTCCGTTTCCGTTATGACTTTGAATTTGAATTGCATTTAGCGCCAAATCAAATCGTTTGATAATCACGTTACAAAAGCCAAGTGCGCTAAAATTAAAGACAAGAACCATCAGCCCAGCATGTGATTCCAACATAAGCGCACATAACCTTATAATTCGGTTACCTCCAGTATGCGCCGCACTCGGTGTATTCCGAGTCCTTGCCTCAGTGAAGCGCTTATGTTTCATTTAATGTCGCACATTCAATTGATTTAAAAATTGTTGAAACTCCCGCTGGGAGAGCAGGAATATACATTTTTATCCTTGCCTGTATTTGACAGACTGACTGGATAACTGTTTTGTTTGGCTGATCAGGGACATGTGCAACACTTCGGGGCAAATTTTTAAAGAAGAAAAAATTTATAAAAAAGGGTCGCTATTTAGTCTCTCTGTGTTG